AACCCTTTCACCACTGTAGACCATAATGGACTTATCCATATCAATACATGGTAGATTCTACTAAAGTTACATAGGGGTGAAAGGGTTAATTTAAAGCATAGACTCTCTGCTGGTTTCCTGGGGGTGTCAACATCAAAATAGGAGGTGTATATTCAAGCTAGGTGTACATCAAAATATGAGGAACTCATATCTATCAAAATAAATGATAAAACGCTCGTAGCAAAACACTAGTGTTTCAAGTGTACCAATTAATGCTGATGTAAAGTCTACGCAATGTGACCACCAAAACTACTGCGAAACTATAAACATTTTAAGAATTATGCAAAAACTTCTCAGTTTAAAAAGGATAGTAAAAATCCACAGTAGTTAAATATTTTAAATATAATCTCACCACTTCCAATACGAAAGCAGCAAAAACACTTTCAAACAGGAAATTTTGGACAACTATATATATTTGATATATATTCAAAAAGTGAACAACAGGTGGGATTCAAGAAGATCGTTTTTCAAAAACAACAAAAAATTAAAGTACAAGAAAAATAGCATGGGGAGAAATGCAATATCAGTGTACATGTATATGTATATAAAGCTGGGAAATTGCACTTTTAATTATCAGACATTTTATCAAAATGTCACACACAACACATACACAACTTATAACATCTGACACCAATGCACCAGGTGGTCAAATTTTCCTCTACAATGTATCAATTTTAACTGAACATCAAAAATCTTTGAAGCATGTTGTTGACGAACATAAGCTGTTTTCATATAAGAAATAACTGTCCATAAACACTGCACATTCTTGAAGACATCTGACTTAAAGACTTCAACTACGCTCTGAACAATAAGCTATTGAAGCATGCATGTTGCTTGATAAATAGCAAGTTCTTGAAGGATATTTTTTGTTGAACTTCAAATTATTGAGGCATGTTATTTGATGAACAGCTAAATTTTGAAGCAGATCATTTGATGAACTCATTCTTGAATCTTGAAGTAAGTCGTTTGATGAGCAGGAATTTCTTGAAGTCTGTAGTTTGTTGAAAAACTTCCCGAAATCTGTTGGGGTTTTTTGGCTGTACAAGCAATGCAATGTTGAATGTACACAACACAACAAATGCTTGTTTTTAGCTTCTGATGAATACTTGAAGCATTTTTGAAGCACAGACAACTGAGCTGCAGCCATGAATGGAAGTTAATGTAACGTATGTAATGCCAATCAAAATATTGGATAACACAATCCCAAACTTACTGTGTCACATTTTTTTTTCAAAATGGAAGTCGTTTTCTCTTTTGATTGCACTCGTAACCACTTACTAGAACAATTGCATACAGCATTTCTCACAAGTTCAGCAAAACGTCATGGTCGTCTTGGAGTATTTTTCTAAAATAAAATAAAATTGATTACAGAATGGATAGGTCAACTGCCTGGACCTGAATGACACACATTTTAGAAATTATTTGTCGAGAAAAACTTCATTGATAAAGAAACAAAATACAAACAAAATTTCATCGGTTTCACAACACTATATGGGAGGGATATTTATTACAAATGCAGACAAATTCTGAAAGGTGGTTCTTAACTATTCCTAAGGCAGAAGAAATATGAATGTTGGTTCTTAACTATAAAAATATAGACCAAAGATGATTGGTGGTTCTCAACAAGTTAACTTTAATAATACAAGTGGTACTAAGAAGGTTATTTCAAAGCAGGATATTGACACTAGACCAGATACGTCTGATTTATAAACGGAATCTTACAAGAATACTATTTATATGAATTATGACCCTTGTTAAATCTATATATCTAAATAAGTCAGATATAATAAATTGCATGTCTATTTCTTAAAACTCTGAAGATCATTAAAATTCAATTCATTAAAATTGGGCTGAACCAAACTCTCAAAAGAAAAGTAACAAATGGTACTCTTCGCTAGTTCATTTGACTTCAGTCTAGTATATTTTAACAGCTAAAGTAATTATGACAACAGTGCTCATATGACGAAGGCACTCGGGATCATTTGTACTGCCATCACTGTAACATCACAACAGGGACACACACGAGTATGATACACCATGCACTCGAGTCCTTCTGAAGACAGGGTAACAGATCTAGATTTACCTAGGGGTGACATGGGAATTAGAAAAGTTGAGACTGAAAAATAAAATAAAATCGTCAAACGAAAGAAAACCATACCAATTTCCAGTTGATGAGTTTAATCCAGTCATTGCACTCTTGCTCTGTCGTCGAGTACATGAAAAATGTTCTCCACTTGAAAACGACCCTGTAAGATAAATCATATGTAGTTTTTCCAACTGATTTTGTTGCTCGACAAATAATTTTTCCTTGAAAAATACTTTCTACGAAGCTATATCTTTACCTCTGGACCACATGCTGTGGCAACTTAACCTCAAATACGAGGAAAGTAGATCTTTTCAAATTGTACGATTTAAGCAAATCTGAGATAATCAAGTACTATAAAATTTCTTTAACGTTTATACCGAGTTCCCAGTACTAGTGCACTGTACAAACAGGATGAAAGATTTTCAGTATTTGTAAACTGGTTCATCCTATTTTATTGCATTACCTGAAAACATTAAATTTGCCTTTGTTCGTGTAATCCCGTTTACATTCCTCGCATTCCCGGAGGTCCATGGCTCGGATAGCACGAGAGTCCTCCTTCTTTTTGTAGTAACGAAGCTCGTATTTCTGTAGCACAAACCATCTCGTATGCCAAGTCTGCAATATTCATAAATCGTGTTGTACAGTCTTGAAATTACTTCGTACAATCAAAATTTACAAAACAAAGGAAATAGATTATAAATGTACAGAAGTTTTTGAAATATATATATGTTTTTAGGAAAATTAACAAACAATTATGATACAATAAATATAATTACTACTACCGTGACACATCTAGTCTCGCAAGATCAATTGTTGATGTTTTATCAAAATTAGTTCAGCAGTTCAAGAGAAGTCTTCTCTCAGTGAAGCACTAGAATAACTTAAGCTACACTCCACGATTAGGGAACTATTTACCTTAAACCTTGCTCCAAGTTTTGTGAGAAATCCCTCTTTAGAATTAATCTGGAAATGTATGAAAATATTTGTCAACAACACACCTACCATCTGGGAATCATCAATTCATAACAAATATACACAAAACATGGTTTTACTTTAAAGGCAAAATTTTCAAAATACCTTAATAATGTTCTCACTCAGGACATAAACTTGATTAATGTAAATGATATTACAGTATATAGAGCTGATTATCTGAGCCAAAAGGAAGACATATACATGGTTTGGACATGCAGTCGTTCACATAACCATTCTCACAGTACATGTATTAAGCAGGCTATATATTTGGGACACAAGCAAGATTCAAATAACTGAAAGTTCAGATAATTGGCATTTTTCTGTAGTGAAACCACTAAATTTTCAACAATGAAGATTTAACCCGAATAAAATGAATAAATATGAATATTGAGGATGAACATTTTCTATTATTAGCATATATCAGTACATCATTAGGATGTTGCCTACCGCAAACTCTGGACCTCTAGAAAAGTCGTCTGCCGTACTAAACTCAGCATGGACTCGTATTGTGTCATACATGTTGGGTTCCTCAATGTTACGTGGGTAAG